CCACATGTTCTCCTTACTGCAAGCCTGGAACCTTTTTCTTCTGAAAAAAACCCGCACTTCTTGCCGCCACCAGTTTCTCTCTCACCCAGATCTCGTGGTGAAGTTCCCTTGCATCTTCCAACCTTCCCACTAAATAAACTTCTTACCGCCAAACCAGGACCTCAGCACTCTTCCTTTCAGCACATCCCATTCCACCATTCTTGATGATTATTTACTCTCTGTCCATGTTTAGAGGAGAATCCTGCTGCTGGCTGCATGCTTCTATTCTGGATGCAGCAGAGCAAATGAGGAGGCTCTGCAGCTAGATCCTGCTGGTCAGTGGATATGTGTAACTGCTTCTTTGGAGGTTGCTGTGGACATGTCTGCACGTTAAGCTGTTGTGATAGTCCAGGACAGCTGTGGTATTTTGAAGAGGTCTGAGGATCGCAGTTTGGGAACTTCCAGCTCGCAGGACCTGCTGGCTCACAGTGTGCTCGTAGGCAGCAGCGTGCCACAGCAGTAGAGTGGCAGTGGTGTTGCTGCTTTTGTGGGTCTTGAAGCGAGTTATCCAACTACTGTGCTGAGACTGCATCCTGAGACTGACAGGACAGTGCTGATCTGTGAGATGGTCACCAGCTTTGATGCTGCCTTTGAAAGGATGTGAGCCCTCAGGACTCTGAGGCCAATGCTGTCAGCACAGCACCTCTGTGACCACCAAAGATGAGGTCAGTGCTGGGGAGTCATGGCTGTGTCCTCCTTGTGAAGAACTGCAGGAGCTCCTGCCAGTTCTGCAGTGTGTTTTGTGTCGATGAGCTGTAATACCAGTTAAGTGTTGAGCTGTAGGATCTGAGTTTAGGACAGAGACCACAGCTGCACATAAAAAGTCACTCAGTGCCATGTCCCAGACTGAGCTCTCTGGAAGAGGTGTAGTTCAGTTGTGGTGACTCCATGTTTGCAGTGGATTTATTTTTCTCTCCAGCATCCATGGGTGGTTATTGTCAGTGAGTACTGAAGCAACCCGGCAGCTAAAGATGCCGAACTCTAGAGGAGGGGAGGAGAGATTGTTCCTAGCCCCTGCTGGCCGTTGCTCTGCCTGAGACTGGATAACTGTACAGAGTGGCCCCCAAGCACTAAAATTTATCAAACTTCTAAAATATAATTGTATTTATCTTATCTTTTCCCTGTAGCCACCCACTCTGTTCAGTTAGTCACTATCCTGCTGCAGTGAGCTCCTCAGACTGACTACTACCTTGGTGAAGCAGTACTTCATTATTAGCTTTTTTTTGTTGTGGTGTTGTTTTCTTTTTCCTTTCTCCTGCCCCTAATATAGGCACTGATTTTTGACAAGTCTTGTATTTGGTTTTTTTTATAATCTCAACCTTGAGTTAAAAAGTTATATCAGTTTTAGTTCATTTATTAAGACATTGTGATGATATATTTTTTGACATAATTATATTTCTTAGTGGTCATGTTAATACTCCTTTCCTTTAGGGCTTTTGGATTAATGGCTATGGTATGAGTTATATTTGTTTGTGAATGAACATGAAGTTGTCTGCTGTAATGCCAGTGAGAACTGGAGGTTCCACTGCACGTAGATGCAATATGAGCAACTAAAATGTTCATTTTTATGAAAAGCTTCCAATCTAAAGAAACTCTAATGGTGAAATTATAATGTAACAGTTCTAATTAAAAATAATAGAAGAACATTTCGTCTGACACTCGTTAGCCTTCTAGATCTTTACAAAAAGCTTGCGAAAGTCAGCTTATTATGGGCTGTGGAGGAAAACTCCCATTTTTACATGGGTTTCAGATGAGTCCTTGTGAGCATTGTAGTTTTGAGAGCATATTGTGGCTGGTGTGATATCATTTCTGATGTATTTTGAAATGTTAATCTGAATATAAATTAGGGCTCAGATAGCTGCCAAATCCAGTATACAGAGATACATAATATATTTTCTTCTCAGAGTGTATTGCTTCAGTTATGTTATTCTGAGTTATCTTTGAACCCTGTGCCTGCGTGTTGAGTATATGTTTGTGGTGTATATAAAACTTCTTACAGTCTGACTCTGACTTCACTGACATGGCTGTTGATTCATTGACTTTAGTGGAGTTGTTCCTCATTTATCTTGGCAGAGGTGAGGACAGAATCATGCCTTAAATCTTTAAATTAAAAAATTAAACTATAAAAATATTGTGAAATAAAATATCAACATGTTCCCATTAAATATTATTTCATGAGACTAAAATAATAATAATAATAATAATAATAATAATAATAACCCTAGTTAATAGAAAAGCAGAAATCAAATATCTATTTTAAAGAAAGAAAGAAAGAAAAACCCAACATTTTTTTAGTCTACAGAGAAAGAAGAGAATTTGGTTTAAATAAGTACTGTTTTGAATATATACTCTTTTAACAGTGACAAATTATCAAGCAGAATAGTTTTATTTTTGCATGGATATCACATTTAAAATGAAGCCAGACTGACTTCTCTCACTTGATGTTTATCAAGAATTCTTGTAGTCTCCAACTGTATTAGCAGATTTATTTTTTTCAAGTACACATATAGTTGAAATATATGTATTAGTGCTTTATTTGGCTTAAAAAATCTAATTATTCCATTGCTCATAGCTAATATTAATTCATTAAAGATTGGTTAGTTGAAGGCTTTTTTATATAAGGACCTAAATGATTTTAAAAGTTGAGGAAGTCAGCATCTCTAATACCAAGCTGACAAAGGAGCAGAGATAAAGAAGCTACTACAGTCAAATAATCAAACGTTGACATTTTCGTGTGGTTCTATGAAAAACACATGTAAATGTCTTTGTGTAGTAACACTCGCAGTGACCTCGGAGATAAAGTGATACGGGGATTTACCATCTCTCTGTAAAACATTTCCCCTTTTATTTTGTAGTTATGTATGGCTTAGTTACTGGTACCTTCTTTCCCCTCCCTCCACCCCCCCAGCTGACTACTGTGGCTTTAGGAAGGTATTAGTAAAGTGTTAACTTGCGTGCATCTCCTTATTTGTGATGGCTTTGCCCTTGTGCTAGTCAGGAAATGGCTGAAAGTTCCGTGTGTGAGAGTGAGAAGGTAATTAGTCACGGCCAAACTATTCACTGTTAAGTAAACTTTACTCTCTGGGGGTTGTTTTGTCAGAAAACAAGTTATCTTAGATTAGCTTCTAAAATCTAATTGACTTAGCGTTATTTACAGATTTGTATCAATTAGCCCCTGAGTGGAAAAAAGGGGTCCATTGTAATTTTGACAGTTTTTCTCAAAAGGCCATTTCTGTAGCCTGTCTTCCACAAACAGGTGCCAGAAAAGAATTTTGTGAAAATCGGAGCATCTGAAATAAAAAATACTGGCATATATGGTTATAATCTGGAATTGCCATAATGGAAAAAGGAGTTGTGAACACATGTGTATGAATGGAATTGTTCCACAGTTAATGGGAGATTTATGGCTGAAGAAATCACTACAGAACAGCAAGTGGTGGAGATTGTGTTTTTATTTTAATAGGAGAGCCAAGTCTTGCATTAGGACGTTGCTGAATCTAGTGCAGAAAATAAACGACACCCAAGGGATAGTGTAGCATTCTCTTAGGTTGAAGGGCCTTTAATAATCCCCTAGTCTAATAGCAGTTAAGATAGAGAATGTATAAGAACTAATCTGCTTCTACAACAATGTGTGGACGGTAACAAGAAACAGTTATGGTGTGTTGGCACCGTAGCTCTTAGCAGATGACTTTTTAAATTAAAAGATAAGTTTGCTGAGTGACTTTCTGGAATTTATTTAATGAAGGCCCATAAAATATGATATCTGTTTACAGCTGGATTAACAGCGCTGTGCTGAACTACTAGTCTTTACGGTAGACAGAAAGTACCGAACAAATCTAAAATCTTCTTTCCTTCCTGGAAAGTGCAAATTAATTTTGGAAAAGCACAAATTTAACTTCTACATCTGTTCTTCTTTAATCATGATTAACAGTTTCTGGTTTTGCAGATTGCATGTAGTCTTGACTTGCAAACTATAGGCTGGGTGTCAAATGTGTACAAAGAAAGATTGCAGCAATCCTCCTTGTTCAGTTTTTTCAAGTTTGGTTTCCTCTGAACAGCAGCAAGCAATAGCAATTCTATTAGTATTGCACTTCCCCTCCCCCCCCCCTTTCTCTTGGAAAAGTCGATCTATAGATTAACTTCACTTACCTGTTTTTCCCACATGGAGGAAAAAAGGTGTTTGTGGATGGGGTGTATTTTTGATTGAATTGTATCTACTGTATTTGTATTTTGTAGTTAGTGTCTGTGTTTGGGGTGTGCATAGTGAGAGTAAGTTGTTCCTGAGATAACTTCCTTTTAGGAAGTAGTAGTGGTAAATTTACACAGGACTTGCTAAATAGCGAGTATATTTTAGCCTGGGCTACAACTCTAAACAAACAGTTCACGGTGCTTGTAAGCAGACGACTTTGGTGTGTAAATGTACACTAGATGGCAGTTTTGTCATATCTTCGGAGTTCAAATAGCTCTGTAGGAGAACAGGAAAGGCCATCAGTGTTTAGTCTGCACTCGCAGGGTCCCTGCATGACCAATGTGGACCCCATGGACTTCCTGGAACATGTGTTAGCAATTTGGCAGCAGACATTTATTTCTTTGTTTTACTGCTTGGCTCTTTGAGAAAGTGTTGGTACTCAGTTATGGGCTGTCTGGATCATGTCAGAGGCCATGGGGATCAAGTCCATGTGACAGGCCAGACTGAGGAAGGATGAAGTTGGAGGAGGTGAGGAAACGGACCCTTACTTCAACAGTAACAAGTCACTGCCTGTCTGTGGACTGTGGCCAAATGCTGGGGTGTTTTAGGTCTAATACAGCTGAATAAACAAAACACTTTGCCCATTTGGCTTCTTCATATTTCATCAACACTAGTTCAATCAAAGTCTTTTCTATTTCCTAAGAAGAGGTTCTTATTATTTTTTTTCTTTTCTTTTTCTTCTCTTCTTCCCCCCTCCCTCTCCACATTTTAGCCCCATCCAGACGAGGTGACCTTGAAATCCTTGGGTACTGCATGCTGCAGTGGTTATGTGGGAAGCTGCCCTGGGAACAGAACCTGAAGGACCCTGTAGCTGTCCAGACTGCAAAAACAAAGTAAAGCAAAACAAGAAAACAACCAACACACATGTGTATACATGCATACATGCACACCACCCTAGAACCCTGCAACATCCTCATCTCTTTGCAAAACAGGTCTGAAAAAGACAGCTTTCCATGCTGTGGAATAGCACCTTATGAGAAAGCTAAAACAATTCTCCTTAATTGAGAGATGTTAGTAGCAGTTAAAAATGTAAACTCTTAAGAGCATATATACCCTATTCCACATGTTTATGTATGTACTGCTGTTGAGATATGATAAATTCAAATGCACGATACACAGTCATTTTGTCTGCTGTGTAGTTTTTTTGTTCTCTTTTTTTTGAAGAAAACATTTGTGAATTAGCACACACCTTATTGCACATACAGAAGGTTGTTGTGTGTTTCCATTAAACTTCATGGGTATTTTGTAGAGACTGTAGTACACACGTTTTGGAAGCTTTGACACATGTGCATTCAATCTATTTAACTTTCTATATGATACTATTTTTCAGATTTTTTGGTAGGTTTTTACTGTTATATAAGCCTACTGCTGTTACAAACAATTAAATACCAGAATACTGAAGAACTTGATTAAAATACTTCCTTTTCCACAGCATGACTCATTTAGAGCTTACTGAAGCCACGGAGTGTATTAAGTGTTTTCTTTCTCTGCTTTCACAGTTGGGACTTGAGAGAGTTAATTGCATGTGGTACAGTGTAGCCTGTAGAAGGCTTTACAGAGGAGTAGTTAGCCATAAATGTAACATTACAATTGGAGTAGGCAGCAAACTTTTAAGTAGGGCAAGTCACAACAGAGGTACACAATAGGGATGGCTGATCCACAGAAATCAATCTGCAAATTCAGTGTGGCATTGGCTCTCAACAGAGAAAAAGGTTAGCCTGCAGACTGTGGATAATACAGATTGCATCTGTAAATGTTGACATCGTATGTTATGTTTAATATTTCTCCTTTAGAAGTTCTGATCATTACACAACCCCCTGCAAGGTAACACTTCTATAATTCAATGTTAAATCAATTTAATCAATCAGGCTGCTTCACTAATTCTTCCCTTGCGGTTAACCCTTAGATTGCTGGTGTTTTCAGGATGCCAAGCAAACATGCTTAGAGGAAACACGTAGAAAGTGATTCAGATCCATTTATCAGAAATATCTTATTAGTCTAATGCATTACATTCTTGGTATTGCCTTTACTGTTTTCAAAGGCCAGAAATAGACATCCAGATATATATGTGTGTATCCAGTTGTTTTATAGGTTAATAAGTACATTACCAGCACAGTTGAATCACTTCTGAGCATCCCAGTCCTTTGCTAAGGAGTCTGTGTGGTGGTGGTGAGGAGGTGGCTGGGCCTGGAAGGTAGGGTGCAGGTGAAAGGCAGGAGCCAGAGCAGGACCTCAGACTCTGTTGTTCACCAGTGGTCTCATCCTCTCATCCCTTTGCTACAAGTTCCTGGTCTTTCCTCCCAGTGGTGCTGGGGCAATGAGGCAACTGTGCCAAAGCTTTGGGCATTGGTGAGGGGGGTTTTTAAGGACTGCTGGTGTATTTGAGTTTAGAAATGTTCAAGCCATGCCATAATTGGAGGAGAGGCTTGAATTATAATTTAAGCTAGATTACAGGAAAATATTTGTTTAAATGTTTCATTTTCCCAAAATTGAAGCTCCTATTTCTGATGCCAAACAACAGATTACTGAATTGAAGTTTATTAGCCAGTATACCCCAACTTCATGCATTTGAGAACACATCCTGTTACTGATTAGTGGACCTTTATGGCTGCTTTAAACAAACAAATGAAAAAAAGGGATTCCTTTGCAGTAGTAACTGCTAGACTGAACTAAAAGATCTCTCATACTTGGGGCAAGGGGACTTGTGCGGCTGCAGCTTCCTACAGGTGGTGGGAGATCATCCTGGTTCATGCCTGCACAAAGATGAGAACTGGTGTTACTGTCATCTGTTTTCAGGGCATGACTGATTCTGAGCTCCAGTGTCCTTTGCTATTTCTGTTTCTGAGTAGATAGAAAGTACATCTGTGGTCCTGCCCTTCCATTTATGGAGTGCATGGGACTTAAGGTTGCTTAACCTCTCTCTCTCTCCTTTTGTTTCTGCTATGCCTACTTGTAATTCTGACAGCCATCACCCACCTGCCCCTGAACCCTAGTAGGCAGACCAGAACTACTTCTTAAATTCCAAATATTAATCATTAAGCAGAAATCAGAACAAGCCATTTCAGCTCAAAGCATTTTTCTTTTTCTTTCTAGAAAGCTTAAAACATCTTAAAGAAAAACTTAAAGTGCAGTCTTAGCTATAAGCCTGGTCTTGCTGAAATCAGCAGTCTCCAAAGAGTTAAAAATATAGCTGGTAAAAGGAGATTTTATTTTAAAAGCAGTACTGTGAATCATTAGCTATCCCGGAGGTCCACTTCCTTTGGAATTGAGACTTGCTGTCTTCCTAAATCCCAAATGAAGAATCACCTGCTCCAAAACCACATTAAGTTGTTGCACTCTCGTGTTGTTTCAGACTTATGGATGAGCTCCCAGATTCAGTGACGGAATGGCATTCTTCTGGAAGCAGCTGTAGTAAGTGTGCTTGCACTATGTACCATATAGCACTTTAGCCTGCTAAAGAAAATAGTCAAATGCCTTACTCTGTTTGGAGGAAGCAGATTGGTAAAAGTAACATGAATTTAGCAAAGTCTTCAACTTAAAATCTTAAACGTATTGCTAAGTTTTGTACCTTAAGATACCTGCCTTCACCAGGCCTGAGTCCATGCAGTATTTCCAGGCTCTGATCTTAGGGCAAACTGTAGGGTGCAAGCAGAAGTCATTCTAATGGGACCCCTTGAAATCAAGCTTGTGTGAACCACTCTTACACGTTCCTATCCAACAGAAGAATTCAGCCTGCAGTATCTGTACTTAGCTGATAACACAGCAGTTATGTCACACTCATTGTTAGATGATGTGTCACACTCATTAATTCAGGGTGCAGTTTAATTGAACTGATATTGCTGTCTTCAGTGGAGCAGGAGCAGGCCCTTCATGTACATGCTTGTTATATTTTAAGCATTTTTAGCTCAAAGGCTCGTTTATGGCTAGGGGAGAAGGTAAATTTCTGGATGCTGTCAAATGCTGGTCACTCTGCGATGAATGAGTCTTGATGCCTACTGATATGGGATACTTAATGCTTTTATTGCAGTAACTTTTTTTCTGCTGCTTTCCTGCATTATCCCATAAACAAGTACTAAGTACAGACATTGAGGGCTAAATTTTGAACTTCAGTGGTACAAAAATCTTGACCAGTCTCATCTGTGATGTGTGCCATAGAGTGGCATAAGGTGTCTTAGCCATATGCAATCCAAGGTGTTAGGAAGCAGTGACTATCTTAGAAACAGAAGTAGCATGGAAATAGTAAGCAGCTGTCTACAAAAGGTTTATTGCTTAGCACTCAGAGTTTGAAAAAGCAAATGAATGAACAGTTTGTCTTGTCATATGTTTCTTCCTTCACTGAAATACAAAAGTAACCCAGGGAAAATGCCAAACTTTCTTCAAAGGTCAGTATCTGTTTTGGATTTATTAACTTACTTTCGTAATATTTCTGTATTTGAATTATTGGAATGCATAATGTATTACATAAAATATATTCATGATGTGTATACATATTTAATAAATATTAGTGTATACATACTTAGTAAATATGTATACTTCTCAGATTACTTATATCTGGTATAGTACTCCAGTTTTAAGGGTACACTTGAGTCTTCAACTCAAAGAAATGTTTGATCCCTTCCATATGTTTTTTCTAACAAAATTATTTCTACCTATTCAGTGGTTTCCATATCTCTAGAACTACTTGATAATGATAGCAAAATAATGCTGCTGTTAGACTGGTTTAGGATGTAAACTCAAAACCAATATTTGTCCAAGTATTAGAAGTAAAAAAAAGTTGCCTTTCTCCAAAGCATTCAAAGTATAATATTGATGCAGATTGAAATAGTGTTGTTGACAGTAGTTAATATTTAAAGGGGTATTATGATTTATCAAATAGAAAATACTTCTATTTTACACAGAAATATCAACATTTGTGGATATTTTCATTATTTTTTTTACTTAGAGATAGCTTTCAGTACTAGAGGAATTAGTGTATGTGCATAACAACACGTAGCACTTAAGGGTTAGTCTGTTTATCCAAGTCTAGTTTTTTTGTTTCTCATCTCAAAAAGACAAGATATTGTCAGCTCTGTGTTTTAAGTGTTTTCAGCTGAAATTGTGTCATCTTGTTTGGCAGTGTAGGATTGGCATCCATTTTGGAATTCTTTCTGAAGTTCTAGGGCTACACAAATTAACTTTACATTAAAATGTGCTCTACAGGTGAAATAGCCAAGTTCTTGGTATGTGTTTATGGCTTAGCTTATGATGATAAGCCAAAGTATCAAGTGCTCAAGAAAATCCTGCTGGATGGACTAGAGTCAAGTGGAACTCGCTACGATGGCCCTCTGGAATTTTCCGCTGCAGCGTGCACACGAAATCACGGTGCTGCTGAAGTGTCAAAAGTAAGTAAGACAGTTCGGGGATTATTTCTGACATCTGCTTGATTTTTGCCTTTTCTTTTGTAGAAGAGGAAATAGTAGAAGATCTCAAAATGAGACTGACACAGCAGTTCTTTTGCCTTAAAAACTCCGTGTTTGTTAATTCCTGTTTCCCTGGCTTTGCTAAAAAGTGGGATGTCAACCCTTAAGGAGGAAGAACTGTCATGAGTCCTTTTGACCTACAGTCTCTCACTTCAAAGTGGTAGGTCTGTGGAGAATGATTTACTTTCAGGATAATGGGGAAGTCAAGGACTTTGTTCACTAACATCTTGAAGACAAGCCTGAATGTCAGGCTTTTCCTTCATTCCAGATTAAAAGCAAAGTTACCTTTATTAGTGAAAGCATTTAATTCATTTTCTCGCTTTCAAACTGTTCTTTGTCATTTGCCTTTATACTCCTGCAGCCACTAATGTGGAGGAGGTATTATTCTGGGATTTAGCTGTGTTATTGGTATGCGGTGCTACGTGATACACTAACACAGGATTTTAAAACTGGCAGCTGTCACGTTATATTTTCCTTTTGTACTTCTAAGTCTGAAACCATACAGTTAATAAAAACATGTTTCAATAAGTGGAGCTTGAGGTAATTAGCGGTCTTACTGGACTAGCTGTGAAATGTCAGTCCCATCATACCTCTGTCTTGAAACTTCCCATATGGAAAAGCCCCGTTTCTGTCTCTGATGCGTGTGCAATAAGGCAGGGTCAGGGTACTGCTCATTTTTAATATTTCTGGTGAACTTTGGACCATCACAAGTGTACATGAGCCAAGAATGCAGGATGCAAACTAATGTGACTGATAGGCTGCTAGATGAATGGTGATTCAAGTATCAGTGCACAGATGGTTCTGATTTGCTGAGTTTTGTAGCTGCTGCAACTGAAGACATAAAATATCCTTCTAGTCATAAATTAGCTCTTTGGAAGTAAAACCTTGGCACCAGAGCTTTA